TCCAAAATGGATTTGGACATAAGGGGGCTTTTAACATATTGTAGTGTTGTAGGGTATCATATGGCCGGCCCCGCACGGTTAGAGCCTTTGCTTACTTGTTTAAAGTATTTTCAGGGACTTTCATAGCCACAAACGTAGATTTTTAATCTCAAAATCCCCCCGGCATAGAAATCCCTATTGGCTCATCGACCTCACCTTGTTCAAAATTTCCTCATGGAAGCCACGTGTCTCAAAGCACATTTTTTCTGTATAAGCTAGTTGTTGTATGTATCTGTATGCGTGTGTGTGTGTGTGTGTGCTTTAATATTGTCCCCCATATAATATGGTACATATTTGTATTATTATGTTCGAATAACTGTACAAATGGATAACATTAATATTATTTTGCGTTTTTGTGTGTTCACACACACACACACACACACGTAGGATTTGACATGCAATAAATGCCACAAAGGAAAAATAACTGGCAAGCAACAGCAACAACAAAAAAGGATAAAGAGTAAAAAAGGATTTCTTTGAATTAACATTGGCCATTATCAATTATGGCAAATAATTAAGTGAGGCACATTAAGTATTTTATTAGTTTGCATGGAATTGTGTGCATTTCATTACTGGAGAAGATATATTCCAATTGCCATTGTAGTACAGGGTCGTAGATTCAATGGAGAACAGATGCTAAATTGAGAGAAAACTCAACACTTTAACCCAATAATGGCTAGTTATAAGCTAACATTTGCTAAGGACATAAATAGAAGTAGACGAAGTCCTCAAATTGGTAGATTAATAATCTCCTGAGGATAGCCCATTTTTATAGCTCAGCCATATGGCTGGAAAGGGTATACAGGGTGAGATGAAAAACTGCAACCAACTTCAGACAGCTGTAATTTCTAAGGCATTTCTCCGATAGCTGTAAAAATTATTCCAGTGACAGCTCATTACATTGCTTACAAGGATACAAAAGCATTTTGGTGAGAATTTTCCAGAAAACAAGTTATCGTGATGGAATTCACGCGTGATAGTTTAATTTCTTTATATTTGGATGGAAAGCCACAATTGGCTATCGTTAGAGCACTCCAGAATTTAAATGTGAATAAATCTTTTGTGTTTCGTGCCATCACTCGTTACCGTGACACTGGTAGCGTAGGCCGACGTCAAGGAAGTGGACGGAAGAGAACAGCAACATCAGCAGAAATGGTTCGGAAAGACTTGATCGGCCGAAAATTGGCTCGTGAGCTGAACTTATCGCAATATTCCACTCGGCAAATATTGGTAAAGCCATATCGGGTTAAAACGCTTGAAATTCCAAAAAGTGCAAGAACTTACACCGCTACAGAAAGAAAATTGACTCAAAAGAGCTAAAGAGTTGCTTCGCTTGGCCGAAAGTGGTGAACTGCCGAATTTGGTTTTATTCGCCTCCGATGAGAAAACATTCGTTGTCCAGCAGTTTGTAAACCAACAAAATGATCGTGTTTACTTGCCAAAGAGGCCACCAGAACTCAAGCGTCGGTCATGGTGATGGTGTGGGCCGCCATAACAGCCAATCGACCCTGGCATCAGAATAAATGCCGTATATTATCGTTAAAATATTCTGGAGGGTATATTAAAGCCTTGGGCACGCAAACATTTTGGCCGCAGACCTTGGACATTCCAAAAGGACTCAGCAGCATCGCACTCAGCACGCGCCACCCAAGAATGGTTACAAATGGTGAGGTTCCTCGCTTCATTTACAGCGCACAATGGCCACCAAAATCTCCGGACTTTTGTGTCTGGAGTATTTTGGAAAGCAAGGTTGGCACTGAAAAATACCAATGAGTCGATCACCTCAAGCAAGCTCTTCACCGGGAATGGGCCAAAATATCACAGAGCAACATTCGGGCAGCGTGTAACAGTTTCATTGGTTGCTTGAAGGTCATAATTCGTGTCAAAGGTGACCAATTCGAACATATCTAAACCTATTCTAAAATTTGATGCTATTTCCGACATTTTGTGCATTCATTCAAAAAAAAAAAAAAAAAAAGTAAAAATTATGGCGTTTGACTTTGTTGCAGTTATTTTTATCTCACCCTGTGTATTATTTAACAAGGCCAAAACGTGCCTCATCGATATAATGTCCGTTGCAGGACATTGGGAGTCAATCTAGCGATGTCTGACCATCCGTCCGCCCGCTTTTCTCGAAGGGAGTATCCGATTTGGTGCAAACGTGGAATATGATAATATTATTATCAAACTTAGATCGAGTTCGGAGATGAACGATGTAGGTCCACTACTTGTGGGACCTCCCCTACAAATGATCGAAATATTAAAAAAAGGAAATTTAAAAGCTACCCTGATTTTGCTTTAACTTTGTAAATCCTTATATTAGCGTCTTTGCTAGGTCAGGAGCAAAAATGGACAATATGGTCCACTCCATCAAGTGTCTCCCCCACAAAAGGGTCAAAGTTTTGAACTTATAATAACTTATAAATTGTGATGCAAAATTCCGATTGTCTTCAAATTACACACATCCCAATATTTTAATTAACCCAATGTCTGGTATGATGATAAAATATGTCGGTCCACTCCTTTTGGTACACCTGAACCCCCTACGAAAGGGTCAACATTTTGAATATCCGCAACGTGTTCAGGACTTTGAATAACACAACGCTCAAAGAAAGCGACATAACCAACCAACTCTCTTCAAATTTCAAACATTTTTAAACCCTCCACCTTGGAAAGGAGGGTATATTAACTTTGTCATTTCATTTGTAACTGTCTAAATATTCGTCGTAGACCCCGTAATGTATATATATATATATATTCATAATCAGCATAAAATTCTAAGTCAATTTAACGATGTCCGTCTGTCTGTCTGTCCCTATGTCTGTCTGTTGAAATCACGATACAGATCACATTATTTGACGTAGAGCGTCAAAATTTAGCAGAATAATTTGTATTGTGTCTAGGATGGTTGGTACTGAAAATGACATATATCGGTCCACGTTTTGGTATAGTCCCCATACAACGGCACCTCCCGATATTCCATATTTTCATGATTTTTGCCGCATTTTTGCATGGATTTGTCTAAAAATTGGTCTTTGCTGGTCATAATAAGTTCTAGCTCTGGTGGCGAAACATTGCATCTGTAAGTCCACGTTTTGGTATAGCCCCCATATAGCGGTACCTCCCGATATTCTGTATTTTGATGGTTTTTGTCACATTTTTTCACGGATTTTTCTAAAAATTGGAATTAGTTGGTCATAATAGGTTCTAGCTCCGTTGGCGAAACATTGTATGTATAGGTCCACGTTTTTGTATAGCCCTATATAGCGGCATCTTCCGATATTCGGTATTTTGATGATTTTTGCCACATTTTCCCACGAACATTTCTACAAATTTGTATTTGTGGGTCATAATCGGTTCTAATGTTTCCATTACCCTAAGGTGGAGGGTATTAAAAGTTCGGCCCGGCGGAATTTTATGTTTTTTACTTGTTGCTTATACAAGGGCTGTTGTGAAGATGATGTACATCTGCGAACCGAACCGCAACCGCAGTTTTTGACACTTTTTTGTGTCATAACCTGCGAAACAAGTCAGCTATTCTTTAAAAATATTTCTCTGAACCAAAAATCTGAGATGATTATGGAAATTATGATTTTGAATAAATGCGGATCTAAAAATTTCGATTTTCTTTTAATTTTGCCCATAGCCCAATTTTTTATCTGTGTTAGATGGAGAATGAAAATGGAATATTTCGGAGGACTTTATTTGGAAACATTTTCGAAAAATTGTTTCACATCTGATATAAAAAGTGAAGGAAGTAACCAATATAGTCCAAGCCTGGCACGTCGCAATATTTATATAGGTCCGCTACGAAATCAACAATATTGGCCCAATTCTTCGGAATCTACTCCATAGAGGGTCAACAATTTTAATAATCATAACAGATGTCAAAATATATTTAAATAACCGAACATTGGCTGGGAGTATTCATCTGTCGGCAAAATCTACTGATACTTTTTATATCCTCCACCATAGTATGGTGGGTATATTAAGTTTGTCATTTCGTTTGTAACACCTCGAAATACACATTTTAGACCCCCCAAGAGATATATATTCTTGATCAGCATAAAATTCTATGTCGATTTAGCGATGTCCGTCCGTCTGGCGGTCTGTGGAAATCACTCTAGCTTCCGAACGAATTGAAGTAGATTGATAAAATTTTGCTGAAATGTATGTTATGTCTGCAGGACTTTTGGTATTGAAAATGGGCCATGTAGGTCCCATAATCCCATCCAAATTAATTTTGTTTATTAACCTCTCAAAACGTTCGTCAGTATAACTACCGTGTAAGTAACAATGGTTGACTGTAAGTATATCATAATTGCTCAAAGGAACTGTTTCTAATTTCATATGATCTATCGTCATGTCTTGGTCAGTAACGTTCAGTAATTTGATATGCTTATTTCCATTTTTCGGAATTATAGAGTTAGCTAAAAACACACCTTTCGTAATTTCCCTATTTAATACTACTGCGTCTTCTACCAAATTGATGGTAAAAGGTAGAATGATTTCACTCCTCTTTGGCACAACTACCTGATTAATTTTGAAAGAACTATCATGTATAGGAATTGTGATGCTTTCACTATTTAAATTAAAGGTTAGGATATACCTGTCATAATCAACATTACATTTATACTTTGATAGAAAATCTCTACCTAAAATCCCATCTGTACTAAGTGGAATATCATTTGATACTAGCTGGATACTATGTTCAATAACCATACCATTTATATCTATTTTAACTTTAGTTGACCCAAAAGATTTAATAACTTCTCTCGAAATGCCTGTTAGATTTCAGTATTCATCTGGATTTTCCTCATATCGGTACAAAAATTTTTCCTTACATAAAGAAATATCTGCACCTGTATCTATCAAGAAAGTGAGTGAATAATCTACATCTATTATATTCAATCTCACGTAATTTTTGAGGTTAGATGATATACTGAAGATGTCTCTGTTTTTTATTGTGTGTTCTCCGGAGACGAAGGTCTTAGGGTCTCCGGAACTTGAAAGTTTCCCTGATCTTGTACCTGGTTTACATTATAATCCCTACTATTGTAGTTTTTGTTGTTTCTGTAATTGTTGCCATTACTATTATTATTCCTCCAATTCTTATTATTATTGTTGTTATTACGTCCATTCTTGTTATAATTTTTGTTGTTTTTATACCCTTTATTTCGGTTGTAGCCATTATTATCGTTATTGTTACCGTTATTGTAGTTGTATCGTTTGTTATTATTATTGCCGTTATTGTAATATTTCTTTTTACCATGTTTATTATCCCTAATAGCTTGTGCATTATGGTACATCACATCTCTCTGTTTTGTACGAGATACGTATCTTTCTGCAATTCGCAAAGCATCGGCAAATGTCGATACACGACTAGCCTCAATAGTTGAAACAATCTGTTGATCCTGAAGTCCATTCAAGAACGTATTGAATGCTGTCAGGTTATTAGTAGCTATTATTGCATCCCTACATTGCTCACCTAAATCAGAAATTTGAATCTCGTTGAGCTCAGAAACAAGACTTTCTATTTTATTAGCGAAACCTTGCAAATTGTTGTTTCTTTGAGTTAAACCGGACAACTCATTCAAAACAGCATTGGATGACTTTACGGGCTTATAGGCCGTCTTCAAGGCAGATATTAAATCATTAATATTCTTTGGTATTCCTTTCTGTTTGATTCTATTCTGGACCCGACTATCTAACCTTGAGCAAAAAACATATTTAAAGAAGAATTCTTTCTTGTCATTAGGAATTGTTTCGTATACTAACTCTAGGTTAGCAGTGAAACTTTCCAAGTCTTCTTTTTTGCCTGTAAAAACCGGTACTAGAGCAACGATAGTCTTTAAATCATTAGTCTCCATTTTGTTTTCTTGTTTTAATGTATCCTTTTCTTTAACCTGTTGAGTTAACTCGGAGTGTTCTAACAACAAACTTAAAACTTCTGCTTTTAACTCGCTAAATCTTGTCTTATATTTAACTGAGTCTCCCAATTTTTCCTTTTCTACTAACTCGTTGAAATCCGTCTGTAGGTTCACAATTTCTAATTTCTTTTTCTCTATTGTTTCCCTCGTATAAGGCTTGCCTAATGATTTTTTAGCATTCGACAACAAAATTTCTAACGATTGTAAAACCTTATCCATGGTACCAAATCAGTGATGTGTGAGTGGACTTATTGCTATTACAATTTTATAATATTAATCATTTTTACAATATACGATATTAATCATTAATATATTTTTGAAATTATTGCAACGCGCTTAATCGAGCTTGTTGCTTACGTGTTTGCTTCTTTACATATTTCTTTAAGTACTTAATAATAACCACCAAAGTTATTATTATGCAAACTAATATTAGTACCTCAATGCTAATACTAACGGCTGTTGGTGCATTGGCCGTAGCCTGTATCACCTCGCTTATTTTTGTTTGGGTACTTCCCATGATTATCAAAATATATTTTTGTTTTCATAAACTCATAATATTTTTCTTTTTTGTTTTTATTTAATTTTTAATGAAGTCATATTATATTTTTTTTTTGTTATTGGGTTTTTTTTTTTTCAAAAAAAAAATTATAGTCTGTTGACCACGAGCGCAACGCGCTTACTGGTCCTAACGTCTGCAAATGGATGCAGCGTTTTATTTATTCTTCTGATTTCTGGTGCTGAGATAGTTCCTTAAGAGGAAATCTATCTCATCGATGCGTGCCCAGAGCCTGGAAGCACGTTCCCAGGGAGGTGGCGGATCAGCATTTATCTCCCGTATCAGGAGAGCTCTTTCCTTTTTTAGTCTCCACGTGTAGCCTCCTCTCGTCCTTGGTCTGCTCACCTTCGGGATCTTTATTTCATCCTCTGTCCTAATCAGTCTGTTTCTCTTCCTATATTCATCTATGGTTAGTGGCTGCGGTCCCGACATTAAGTGTTTTCAAATCCACGATCCACGGCTTGGATCGGACTGCCCGGACAGTATGGCAGTGTCTTCAAAAAAAAAAAAAAAAAAAATAAAAAATGTTTTTTTTTTTTTTTTTTTTTTTTTTTTTTTTTCAACTGCGGATAGAACGCAGGAACTGCGGATGGAACGCAGGATACTTGCTGACTAAAGAGCAAGATTTGGCAGGATCGCCATGTAATAAATTGAGACTTTATGTTTTGTTGGCTTTGCTAATAGAGCAAGCTTGATGGTTGTCAGCACAAGTCTGCCTTCTTTATTTTTGCCTTTTCGTATTTATAATAAAATTCTTAATTCTAACAAAAATTCTTAAATCTAGATATCACTCAATACTCTTTTCTGTTAACCAATCAGAAAAGAGTTCTTACAAAACTATTTAACAATGAAGTATATTTGTATGTGTGTATGTGATGTTTTTACATATGTTGTCATGCATTTCATATTTTCATTCATATTCATATTTTGGAATTTCACTCAATCAAATTTACTATTGGGATATTCTTCATTCCCATTGGCCGAACTCTGATTCATTACAATAGTATTTGAGTTTCCAATTCGAAACTCTAAACTGTCGCCCAACATATGAGTAAGCATAAAGCAATGAACTTCATATGAGCAGCGCTCTGAAAAACAAAGAAACAATGAAAGCAATGAACTCGTTGTGGCACTGACCAACTCAACAAAACAAAATACTGAATATCAAAATGCATGGCAACATAATGTGATGGTGACACACTACATTTGGTATAGCCCCCCATATTCGGTATTTTATGATTTTAGCGACATTATTCACCGGAACAGTTTCAAATTTGGTATTTGAAGTTCGTAACGAATACTACAGCCTAAGACAGACAATGAGCCACGTAGATCCACGTCTTCGTATAGCCCCCATTTAACGGTACCTCCCGATATTCGGTATTTTGATGATTATGTACGGGAATTATTTCAAATTTGGTATTTGAAGTTCGTAATGGATACTACAGCTTAAGAGAGAAAATTGTCTGTACAGGTCCACCTCTTCGTAAAGCCCCCATATAATGGTACCTCCCGATATTCGGTATTTTACTGATTTTAGAAACTATTTTCACTTGAATTGTTTCAATTTTAATATTTGAAGTTCGCAATGGATACTACAGCCTACGACAGAAAATTGTCTGTGCAGGTCCACGTCTTCGTATAGCCCCCATATAACGGTACCTCCCGAGATTCGGTATTTTGATTTTATCGACATTATTACCGTTTTTATACCCTACACCACAAGGTGGTCAGGGTATTATGTTTTTGTGCATTTGTTTGTAACAGGCAAAAGAAAACGAGATAGACCCATAGTTCCTTTTGATGATCTGCCTAGAATCACATTCTGAGTCGATTTATGCATGTCCGTCCTCCGTCTGTCCGTCTGTCCATGTATTTTTGTAAACAAAGTACAGTTCGCATTTATTGCCCTATCCAGATGAAATTTTGCACAAATCATTTGTTTGGCCAAAGGACGAACCCTATTGAAATTGGAGGTAATCGGTCAAAATTTAGATATAGCTCCCATATATATCTTCGTCCGATTTGCCTTTTATTGTGCACCAAACGTGTAATATCAGTTCGAATATTATGGAATTTTGAACGTACGATCAGATTGGACCTGAAAATAAGTATGGAAAATTTGATCGAAATTGGTTCAGATATAGCTATAGCTCCCACAGCCGTAATATGCAACGATATTCAGGGAAATATATCAAATACAGCTCAGAAATATCTTTGCCAAATTTTATCGAGATCGAGATTTTATAGCTCCCATATATATCTTTATCCGATTTCAAATTAATTGTGCACTAAATGGACAATACAAGCCCGAATTTATAAGATACAAATGATTCGGCACATTTAGTCTTTTGAACTTTAAATTATAATTATTATCATAGCGTGTATGATTGAATTCTCCCATAAAAATTTTTATTGTTATGTGGAGCTCTACAAAATTAGCAAAGTGGTGTAGGGTATCATAAAGTCGGTCCGCCCGATTTTAAGACACTTTGTGTTGGGGGTATTATAAGTTTGATTGGGCCAAAAATTATGTAACACCTCGAAATATTGATTTCCCACATAGGAAAGTATATATGGATCTTCCTATCTCGCCGAGCTGAGTCGATCTAGCTATGTATGTATGTCCGTCCGTCTGTCCATGTTAATTTGTAATCAAGCTACAGGATTTAGAATGGAGGTTTGGCTAGAGCCAGAATAGAACCCTATTTCATTTGGAGATGATCGCATAATATTTAGGGGTTGAAATGGACCAAAAACTGAAAAAATTCCTGATTTTGCACTTGCTCTACAGGTCGCAATTATAGACCAATCGACGCGGAAGTTAGCATGGGGCTAGAGCTCAGGGCTGGGCAGAAGCCTTCCATGGTCATCAGGTAATATTTAGTGGGTGAAACAAACCATAACATTTGTGTTAAATAAAAGTCATTTTTTTCATTAAACCGCGAATATTTTTAGTCCCGCCGAAATCACAAATAGACGAACAGGTCAATTCTGACCGTTACGTAGATGCCGATTGTTCATAAAACTATGAACATGAAAGACTGCTGCAATAAATTAGATCGTTAAGTGATTTAGGCTATAAAATGTTTATGTATTTTTAACCCAACATTCTAGAGTACTTGTAAATGTGTGTGCATGAAAGATAAGAGCATAAGGGATGATAACACTTCATGCTGCTGGAGACGCATTGATAATAAAGAATATTCTCCCATAAACATGCGCTCAGCTGGGGAGTAAATATAGATCACAGCAATTGTGTGTTGCATTAGGCCTATGCATAGAATTAGAAATGTCAAGTGTTTGTAGCCTTAAGTAGATGCATAAGATTAAACCCCCCTAAGATTTCTGTTGTGTACTAGCACTTAAGTAATACATTTTGTTCAATAAAATTAGAATTAAACTGACAAACGAACAAACAAGTTCTAGAATTTGATTCTCCCGCTAACACCGATAGTAAAAATATCGGATATGTGTAGCGAAATATATACAATGTATATATTCAAAGGAAGGGGATGTTAGCTAGAATGCTTATATCTCAAGAATGGCTAGACTGATTTTGACAAATTGTGTCAATTCAGAATGTCCTCTTGGCATAAAAGTATAAAATCTAAAAAAAATCGCATAAAAAGATGCCAATAACGATGTTAATATAGATTTTGTAGTATTTTGTGACATTTTTTTATTTTTTCATATTTTTATCGCATGCGATTTTTTAATTTTGACCCATAATATTGAAGTGTATATTTTGTAATATTTTTTCACCTTACAACACAGGTTGGGGTTATTATATTCATATTGCAATTATCATAGGGTTATGGTTAGGCTTAGAAGGGCTAGGCCAATTCTTTTTAAAAATGTCCGCCATATATTTAGAGGTTGAAATGGACCAACAACTAAACATGTTCCGAATTTTTCAGCCGTTATAAAGGTCACAAATAGATATCAAAAGACACGAAATCTCGCATGAAGTTAGAGTTTAGGGCAGCGAATAGAATGGACCACTACTTTGTGTGAAAAAATACCAGCATTGCTTACAGATGATATCCGAAATACACAAAGTGCGATCTTCTGGCTTTTTATGCTGATTTCTTTGACGAATATAGCCAAACATCGTAGACAAGCAAATCATATAGACGAGTCTAAATTTGGAGATACAGGGGGGCCTCTGGCACTTGGAGTTGATCGCAAAGTATTTAGGGGTTCAAATATTGGGCAAATGTCCCTGTTCAAAATGCTAGAGGTAATATCTGGGCAGTGCTCCGGGACAAAATTTCGAAAGCAAAATCTTCCAAAATAATTTAGACATAAAGGGGCTTCTAATATATTGTAGTGTTGTAGGGTATCACATGGTCGGCACCGCACGGCTATAGCTTTTGCTTAC